CCAAGTCCCAGTTCAAGTAAGCCATAAACCACCATGGCTTAAGTCACATTCAAATATGGTCACTGGCTATTTTATAAACTTCAACACATTTCCCCCATGTCATCTTTTTTAAAAAGGACACATAGACAGACAGGCTTCATTACATGGTTGTTCTTTTTTCGGCAATTCAATTATATAATGTTTACCAAACTACTTGTATCTATACCAGACTTTCCCTACCTAATGCCTTCTGGGTATTTCGTACTACAACTCTCATCAGCCCCGAACAGCATGCAGATGTTTGTTTAGACTAATGAGAGATGAAATTCAAACATCTGGAGGGTACCAATGAAGGTAGCACTGCACTTTGGGGCTACCTTCAGAAAATACTTTAAAAATGGTGAGAAAAGCCTTTTCTTTGCAGAGACTATTATTCTTCCTCTTCAACCTTATTATTCTGTATGTTTGATAATTGTAGCTCATAGCTCAGGGAAGAACCAAAGCTCAGTAATGGAGTACTTTCCTTGTGTACAGAAGGTCCCAGATTCAATCCAGGTAGTGCTGGAAATAACCCCTATATGAAACTCTGGAGAGCTGCTGGTGGTCAGAGCAGATCATACTGAGCTAGATGGATCAATGTTCTGACTTCATATAAGGCAACTTCCTAGGTTCCTATGTAATGCTTTTCACTCATTTACCTGGGAGAGACTTTAGGCTAATGAGCCTGTAATTTCTTATCTTCTCTGACCCCGTGCACATTTTAGAAATTGTTGTAATATTAACACACGACTGACTGAACTTTAAGCTGGTCCTAACAACTAGTTTAGAATGTGAATTTTTTTTCTAGAAGATATTTAAAGGCACAAAAATACAGTAAGCAGCAGAGCAGATAATGAGGGACCTTTGGGGAATTAGCAGCAGTCATGTTTATGAACAGAGACACTACAAAAACAAGGTATTTTTTAAACCAATTTAAAATTAGTTAGGAACTTCTATCATGCACAAAACACACATCTAAACAGGTTTTGAACTCTATGAAGACAAGGGTTTCAGCTAATATTCATGCCTGACAGCAGGTATTTCTGGGAAGAGGTGGACACAGTATAACCCAGGGGTTAGCAACCTTTTTCAGCCATGAGCCGGTCCACCTTCCCTCATACCATGTGGTGGACCGGACAATATTTTGAAAAAAAACACACGAACGAATTCCTATGCCCCACAAATAACCCAGAGATGCATTTTAAATAAAAGGACACATTCTACTCATGTAAAAACACGCTGATTCCCGGACCATCCATGGGCCGGATTGAGAAGGCGATTGGCTGCATCCAGCCCACGGACCTTAGGTTGCCTACCCCTGGTCTAACCTATGCTGGTACACTTTGAAAATGGAAATCTTCTGTGACCCAAAAAAATTAAGATGTTTTGCTCACAGCTATATATTTGTATCAAACCCACATAGTGGGCTACTGAAGTCTAAAACTGTGTGGATAATTGAACCAGCACATCAAGGTGTTGTGGCTAAGATTTTATGGACCTGGAAATTTCAGGAAGAAGGAGAAGAATTTATTTATACCCAGCTCATCTGGCTGGGTTTCCCCAGTCACTCTGGGTGGCTCCCAATCAAATGACAACAGCTCTTGACCCTGGATATCATTTCTTTGTTAGAAAGTGTATCTCAACTAGATTGTTTGCAGTTATGAGGTGCCCAATAGTTTCAGCAAATAAATTGGACCGACTGTACCTAACTGGATCTAAAAATTATTTTGTAGTAATATCCTAACTACACTGTCAAAAGAAATCAGAACTGGGATGGCCACTGTCATACTTAGGTACATTAACACAGAAGGATTACTTAGAATTTGTTCATTCCAAAAACAAGACTTGTACTATGTGGACCTTAATACCTACTGAACTATTACAAGTCGCATTTGCAAACACATCTGCACATGAAGAACACTTGCAGGATTGATAATATGATGGGACCACATAATGCATATTCCAAGAAATAGACTTTCTGAGTCTCAGTTTGGTGTGTTTAGTAAGATGTCCCACCAAGATCAATGAGACTTTGTTCCAAGCAATCATATACAAAGAGTGGGATCCTTACAGTCTTCATCCCTCAAAAGTAAATTACCTGTATTGAATGCGAGTTACCTTCAAGAGAGTACTGCTCACACTAGGATGGTCCAACATGTGGCCCTTGAGGCCTTTTTTGGCGGCCCTTCCTATGTTAATGACCACCAGCAGTAGCTGCAGCAGCAACTAAGTGTTGCACTCCATTGTCATCAGAAAGTCCTGCCTCCTACATTCCCAGCTGCGGGCACACCAGGTGGTTGGACGGCACTGCTCGGGAGTACAAGAACCTGTGGTTGCACTGCTGGCTTCCTCGATCCTCCCCTGCTCCAACTCTCCTCCTCTATTAATGCACTACAATGCTAATAATTATTGGCACATTGATCAAAGCTTAAATAGCATTCAGGTGAGGGTTGCTCTGCTTGCACCTGAGCTTGGCTGCAGCCCCATCACAGACAACTGATTCTCATTACAGTGGTACCCCGCAAGACAAATGCCTTGCAAGACGAAAAACCCGCTAGACGAAAGGGTTTTCCGTTTTTGAGTTGCTTCGCAAGACGATTTTCCCTATGGGCTTGCTTCGGAAGACGAAAACGTCTTGCGAGTCTTGGGATTTTTTTCTGCCCCCCCTTTTTCTAAGCCGCTAATAGCCTTTTAGCCGCTAAGCCGCTAAACGCGCTAATCCGCTAATAGGGTTGCTTCGGAAGACGAAAAAGCCGCTAGACGAAGAAACTCGTGGAACGGATTATTTTCGTCTTGCGAGGCACCACTGTACAGAGATTGGGCAAATAATCAGCTGTGGCATTCTAAGGGGCACTTCGCATATCACATGATATGTGTGTGGTTTTATTGCTGTGTTGTAGAGTGGGGAAGGCAGTGCAAGAAGGGGGTGGGTGCCAAGAGGAAAAATACTTCTATAGGAGGATAGATAGGAAAACAGCCAAATTCGCATTCAGCTTCCCTATTTTAGTTTGCTGCTGCTGCTTCCTGTGTCCTCCTGGATAGGTTTTGATCCTGGCTGCACACAGCGCAATGAAGGTGCAGTTATTTTCCAGGCTAGTTGGCCACCCCCTCCCCACCTCCTTTCTTTCCTTCTTAAGCAAAAAGTTGGTAATAGCACAATCCTATGCATGTCTACATGCTCAACTGGACTAAATCATCCTAGAATTGTAAACGTCCCTGCAAAGAGGAAGCTCTGTTCTCATTTTGCTGCTTAAAAAAATACAAATAAATCCAGATTCCTTCATTACACTAAAAAAAAAGTGATGCAGCAATTACTGTATTTTCTGGTCCTCTCCATTCCTTTGGCCAATTTAAAACTACACTCCAGGATTTTTGGGAAGGGTTGGGGAGAGGAAACAAGAGTTCCACCCTCCCACAATATTACATTTAAGTTCAGGGATTTATTCTTCAAGCTTTTCAAGCTTCTTCACAGGCTGAATTTATTTACTGGCTTCACAAGAGCTTTGAATTGTTTTTTATTAGAAGCCTTCTAAAATGATTTTGTTTTTATACCCTGCCTGCTTATGCTGACAGGAACTCAATGTCTTCATTGTTAAAGAAAGAGACAACTGTTTGTGTATTAAATTTTATTAAATAAATGTATTATTTTTATTTAATTGTGTATTCATTTAGGTATCCATTTGAATATACTGTGTATATTAAATATAATTAACTGTATTGCAAGCACTTTAATTTTCAATTTGGAAATTAAATTCAGTGTGTGGCCGCATGTTCTGCATTGAAGTACTCTTGTGTCCCACTAAGTCTGAGAGGTTGAACCACACTAGCTCAGGCTATAGGCTGCAATCCTAAGTAAATCTGGAATTAAATTTAATGGATGTCAGTATGATTTAGATATGAATAAACATATTTGGGACTGGGCTATAAATCATGGTCTGGGATACTGCATAGCTGCTTGATTTCAATTCAATTCAATTCATTTAAGGAATTTATATTCTGTTTAGTTGTTAGCATTTGTAAGTTGATAACTGAAGTACAGTGGTACCTCGGGATACATACACTTCAGGTTACAGACTCCGCTAACCCAGAAATAGTACCTCAGGTAAAGAACTTTGCTTCAGGATAAGAACAGAAATCGTGCTCTGGCGGCGCGGCAGCAGCAGGAGGCCCCATTAGCTAGAGTGGTCTTCAGGTTAAGAACAGATTCAGGTTAAGAACGGACCTCCGGAACGAATTAAGTACTTAACCCGAGGTACCACTGTATCTGCTTTCTGCATAATGACAGCTCTCGATCCACAAAGTCTTCAAATCCCACTGCAGCTAAACTACAAAAGGCAACTTTTATAGCATGACCCTACTAAGCACGTTTATTCAGAAGCAAGCCTGACTGACTTCAATGGAACCCACTCTCTAGTGAGAGGGATTAGGGTTGCTGTCCAACCCCATTACACCTTCAGCAAGCGGTCCGATTTTATTAGCAGAAACCCCACACTAAGATGTACAAAACTGGAGCCAGAAAGACCATAAGCCTCACTGGGGAAGGTACCAAAAGGCAGCCCCTAAGCAAGCTAAGATGGTGGGGGAAAGGCTTACACTTACAGCATCCAAGCTTCACGCTTCTCTAAAGATAGCTTTCTATTCAGATGGTTGAAAGAATAAATTGTTGAACAAACGAACAACAATGCAACTGCAGGAAGGAAGGTCCAGCTATGGTGGGGAGTGGGGGACATTACCAAAAGGCGAGGGCTGGTTAACGTAACAATAATGACAATAATAACGGGGGAGAGAAAGAAAGGAAAGAAAGAAAGAAGAAAGAAAGGGAAGGAAGGAAGGAAGGAAGGAAGGAAGGAAGGAAGGAAGGAAGGAAGGAAGGAAGGGCCCAGGATACCTAACATTACACAGCTTTTGACGAACGTCTGCCTCACGATGGAAACGGGAAAGGCGGCGATCGTAGGGGAGTGGGATCGTTGGGGGGGGTCCCACCGAGAGACAAACCCCCCCACCCCGGCGAGCGCGCCTGTCCCGTTTCCATCGCGCGGCAGGGAAAGGAGCTCAACGCGATCTGATCTCCGAGCAGAGCGAGAGAAAGAAGGACCGAGATCTAAAGGTCTGGGCCGGGGGGAGGATTAGCGCAAGAAGAGATGGGGGCGGGCGCGGCGCTCAAAGGAGCGAGGGAAGCCCGGAGTCACCTCAGGGCCTAGCGCTGGGAAGGGGCGGCGGAGATCGGGGGAGGGGGGAGGGGGATCGCGCGCGGGAAAGTGGGGGGGGGTCTCGCCCCCACAGCAGGAGCCGCCGATCTGAGGGCTTGGGGGAGTGGGATCAGGCCCTCCATTGCCCACCCTCGCCGATCTTCCACCCAGCGCACCTTGCCAGCTCCCCCTCCCACCATGTCTTTCCCCCCCCCTTACCACGCCTCCCCCCCAGACCCCCACGCCCCCCCGGACTCACAATTCGATCTTGCCCGATTTGTCCCAGTTCTTGATCCACTCGGCAGGGAGCGCCGCCGGCGTGGATGCCCCCGATGTCGATGCCACCGCTGAGGCCGCCGCTCCCGCCGCCATCTTCCTGGTGTAGTGCCGAAAGCCCGGATGCGAGAACGGCGGGCCCGAGGTCAGAGGGGACGGTGGGGGCGGCCATGACGAGCATGACGGGAAAGTGGGCGGCGATGGAGGAGGAGGAGGACGAGGACGACGACGGGGAGGAGGAGGGAGAGGATGCTTTTGAGGGCGGGAGAACCTGGGCTTCCTTGGCGGCATGGCGCGGACTAGGCGCAGGGGCAGCGCGGGGCTCCGCCGGGAGGGACGGAGAGGGCCAGCAGGCCAGTAGACCATGCCTTGCCTTCAGTACAACTGCAGACCTCTTGGGCCGAGGCCTGCTGTTTAAATAAGTTCCCGTGCGCCGGGTCATGTGATGGACTTTGCGCGGGGGAGGGGGCCTTACATGGACGGCGCCCCGCCCCGCTTTTAATTCAGTTTTGCACACCTGCGCTGCTGTTCTGGGGTTAAAGTGACCCACAACAAGTTTCCGCACGCTAAGCACAAAGTCTGTCTCCCCTCACCCTTTGCCCCACTCATTCCAGGCAAAGAATTGTGCTTTAACATTGCATGCCCTAGCTGCTATTATTATTATTATTATTATTATTATTATTATTATTATTATTATTATTATTATCCCAAGCTTTCCCACGAAGATTTGCTCTTTAAAGCTGAATTTGAGCTAAGGTCAATTCAGATTTTCCACGGTTTTATTTCCATTTGCTCTGATTTAGTGTTAAAAAGAAGGTTTTCACATGGAAAGCTTTGGAGCAAAAAACAACAACACAGGGCTCTGACACAGAGCACAGGAGAAGTAAGTACTGTACTGTATGGATAAGCCCCCAGCGGTAAACAGCCGGTTTTCCCCAGGGAAACAATGGGTTAAACAAGAAACCTCTCAGACTTGTGCTTAGGAAACATGAAGCAAGCATAAGCGTGAACGAGCCCTACTAGTCATGGCCAAGACCGAAGATTATGGGAGTTGTAGTCACAAGAATTTCATATGTGTCTAGATTCCACCCATGTTGGCTATCCCAAGGCTCAGGAGATGTGTTTTAGGCACATAGCCTTAATTTTATCTTATAACAACAGAGCCATGTTGCACCTTGACTTGACTCACTTAGCTTGTTCTCTTTACACTTAACACCAGATACAAACAGACTACAGTGGTGCCTCGCAAGACGAAATTAATTTGTTCCGCGAGTTTTATCGTCTCGCGAAGCACGGTGTCAGAAAAGTTTCAGAAAAGCTTCAAAAATCACCAAAGTCTTTAAAAACCTCAAAAAAAGGCTACCACACCGCGTTCTATGAGTTGCTCCTCAAAGTCAAGTCGCAACTGTATTAACGGTGTTAAGAAAAAGGAAACAAACTTGCAAGACGTTTCCGTCTTGCGAAGCAAGCCCATAGGGAAAATCGTCTTGCGAAGCAGCTCAAAAAACAAAAAACCCTTTCGTCTTGCGGGTTTTTTGTCTTGCGAGGCACCACTGTATAGATGTGCAATTGTTTGCATGAAAGAGTGTAAACTAGTTGATTTGTGAAGTTAAATGGTTGCGTACACAGGTATAAAGACTGCTCACTCATAGAATGTTACATGTGAATGCCCCTTTTTCTTTATAGCATTTAACAACTTTGATGTGCCTCTGCTTTGCCCTCTATGCCAGCAGGGAAAGGCTACAATATTAATTCTACTGAATTTAATTCAACTTCTGGGTATGTAGATTGCATGTAACCCACCCACCATGGCACCCCAGGGTAAAATGTGATCTAAGAATACTGTTACAGAACTGGGGGGCTCCCCTTAAACACTAAAATTACCGTATTTTTCCATGTATAAGACTAGGTTTTTCCCCTAAAAAATTATGTCCAAAATTTGGAGGCGTCTTATACATGGGGGCCATCTCCCCCCGGTTTCTTAAATAGGAGTCTTAAATGGGGGTGTCTTATAAATGAAAAAAATATGGTAATCAATGCTAGGATTTGGGGTTATTTGTGATAGGAAGGGATAATATAAGGAATAAGCAAAGGAATTCCTGGGTAGCTTAATAAAGCAGTAGAACTTCTTGCACCAGGTGTGACCAGTGACTGGAGATTTGGAAGGTTGCCAGTGAACTGCTCTGGGGAAGGGGCTTCTGGGAAGAAGAAAGAGGAAGAAAGGCTGAGATCCGTCTTGGTGAGGGAGAAGGAACGGCTGCCTGCAATGCTTTGTGTCATGCAATAATATTTGAACCCTGTTCACGCAGACTGAGAGCATAAATAGACAAATAAACCTTATTTCTTAAAACACTAGAGTCTCCACAGTGTCTTCTATTCTCCACACAGACCCTGGGGTGTTTGTGACCCCATGCGCTCTGGCCACTGCTTGGCAGAGAGAGGGAGCAGACACCTGGCTTTTGTAACAATATAAACAAACATACTCCAGAATGTAATCATTTGTTGATTACAAACCAGTTTATCATTTGGAGCATTAATGAGCCTTTGAAGATGTTTGCCAGAAGCAGAGAACAATCCACATCATACATTTAAAGCACATTTTCTCTGGCTAAATGTGATCTGGCAGGTGGTTGTTACAGGGCCTTTTCAGTCAATTATGGCCCAGCTATGTCACCCCTTGCCTGCAGAGCTGGCATCCTCTCACCCTTTTCGAACACCCTCCCTTGCAGTGTTCCCTCAGATTCCTCTTTTCCTGGGAGTCCTCTGGGCAGCTGCTGCTGCCCCTGGTCTCTGAGCAGCCCCCCCCCCTTTCCAAAGGAGAGGTGTCTCTTCACACTGCCCCACAGCAGTGTTGCATAGCTGTCAACTTTTCCCTTTTCTTGTGAGGAATCCTATTCAGAATAAGAGAATTTCCCTTAAATGGGGGAAAACGTTGACAGCTATGGTGTTGGAAGGTTTTTTGGCAAATATATGAATGTTGAAAGTAAAAAAATGTACATTCATTAATTCATTCATTTACCACTTAACATGGGCAAAGCCAGGGGGGCGGGGAGGCAGGTGTGTCCTCTAAATCAAGTAAATAATAAAATACTTAACTAATCAAGGGCAAAACACTGCGGGGGCTCAAGGTCCCTCCACACAAATCCACTAAGTGACCTTGAGTGATGGAAAACACGATACGTGGGAGGGAAGAGTTCTGCCTGAGCATACATTTACTAATGTAGGGTTGTCATCTTTCAGAAACCAGGACACCCCGAAAGTTGTTGATATTTTCGTAGGTAATATATATTTTTAGATCGCAGCCACAATTCTTTTATTGCCATTGCTTATGGCGACGTGCCTCCTTCCTTCATTTCCCTTTTTTCTCCTTTTTCATAGAAGTGCAGTCCGCAAACACGCCAATAAACCAACATAGGCAAGCTGATCCCATATGAAATCCTCCTCGATTTTGAGTCGCTGTTACAAAAGAGCGCAGCGCACCGCTAACCAAGGCAGGGGATAGGGACATGACTACAATTCCCATCACCGCTGGTCAATGGCGACGCAGCGCTTGGGGACTGACGGGAATTGTAGTCCGCCCGTGGCCTCCACCGCATTTCCCCGCGGCTACGCTTCCCGCCCTGGCAACTGAGTCCCGCCAGGTGCCGCTCTTCCGCGAGGCGCTTCGCCCGGCATCGCGGCTCCTCGCCGAGGCCGCTGGGTGGCGCATCCGCCCGCGCCCGGCCGCTCTTCTGAGGAGACGAAGGGGAGCCGCCGCCATTTTTTCCGCCCCTCTCTGAGGCAGCTGACGGTTTCTCGAGTCACAGGAGCCGCTTGGCCTCGCGAGTCCAAAGGTAAGGCCTACGTTGCGGGGCCAGGCATGGCCTTCCTCGGCGAAACGGGCGGGGTGAAGCGCCCGAGGCTAGGGTCAGTGGCTAAGCGAGGAAAGGTGGCGAACCCCTAATTTCTGGAGCGGGGCCGCCAAAGCCGCACCTCTTGCTATAATAAGCAAATGCAGAGGAGGTGGCCTTGGGGAAGACTCAAGAGGGAGTAACTTGGCCCACCCTCTCACGATTTCAGCCCCCTTTCAATAGGATTGGCGTGGGTAGGGCCGGCCCACCCCATGAAGCAAGGTGAGTCGGTTGCCTCAGGCAGCAGGATGCACAGGGGCGGCAGATGCCTATGTGGATCTTTCTTCCCACCTTCCCACCCCGCCCCCGATGCAGATTATTGCTTGCCTATCAGGAAGGAGGGGCGTTTTGTGGTCCGCCTCATGTGCCAAAATGCCATGTACTGGCTCTGTGCGCGGGTGTCCCACGCGCAACCCCCTATTTGGACAGTTCCCTCCTTGCTTCTCCACCTTACCCCACAGATGTGTGGGACTGTGAGTGTGGGACTTCACTTTTGCACTCCTGGAGCCTTTATCCTGTAAGACTTGAGTGTGTGTATATGTGGAGGGAGGAGAGTGTGCTATCTTGCGTACATCCTTCCCACCCACCCCGCTACTTTCCTGGAAAAGGGTGTTATGAGAGCAGAGTAGCTGCAGTAATCTCGGGTTTGTTTTTTTTTATATTATTATTCCACAATCGCTTCCCTCAAGCTGAAGATGACAGGTAGCTGGGTGGTGGCACTGCCACATGCATGTCGTGTTTTCTTTGGCTCCTGCTTCTTAGGTCGCTTGCTCGGTTTTGACACATAGAATAAAAGCTGTGCAGGATAAAAGCAAGATGCTTCCTTGTAGTATGCAAAGAAACGATGCCCCCTGGGAACCAGGATGGTTGGGTGTGGCTGCTGGACACACCTGTACACATGACAAACTCCTGAAGCTGAATTCTCCTTTGATAATGCAACCCAAATCCTTTTCTTCCTATAGTGCGACAGGAATGTTGATTACTCGGAATGTAATTGCTCAGGTTTTTAAATAAGTTATTTGGAAAATGCAGCTTAGCTAATTTTTCTTCACCGCTCAAATCTGTCAAGGCATGGGAAAAAATAACTTCCATTCCTTTGAAGAGAGGTGGGGTACCTGTGACCAGCCATATGTTTTGTCGGCCCCAATCAGCATGGCCAGTGATCAGGAACGATAATGCTGGAGCATGACATGCTCCCATCGCTCATCAGCTGATAGCTAGTGGGAGCATGCCTAGCTCCAGGTAGGAACAGGTTTACAACATTTGGGGCTTTTTAGCTTAGGAGAAAAAGCAACTAAGAGAGCACATAATGGAAGTTATAGAATTATGCATGGTGCAAAAAAATATTTTTCTCCTTGTCTCATAATACTAGGACCTGGGTCATCTGATGAAGCTTAATCATAGAAGATTTAGGACAGACAGAAACACAGAATTGTAGAGTTGGAAGGGACCAAAAGGGTCATCTAGTCCAACTCCCTGCAATGCTGGAATCTTTTGCCCAACATGAACCTGTCATTAAGAGTCTCATGCTCTAGTGACTGAGCTATCTCTGTACTTCTTCACACAGCTCTTAACCAGGAGTGAGGAACTCCTGACCTATGGGCCAGACTGGGCCTACAACACTGTTTTTTCCCCAAGGCACACCCATCTATGATGTCTGGTCTGCTGTGGGGTGGATAAATATGATATTTAAAAGGAACAATCCAGTGCTTAAAGTGAGCTGATAATTGTTTCTTTGCTTAGAGCAAGATGCAGTTCCGTGGTGAGAGTGCACCTTGCTCCAGCAGCATTTTGTTAAGAGGAACTCGCTTAGGTAGCTGATGCTTCTCTCTCTGCACCCCCATGGGCGAAAGAAAGAGGCACTTTGCCAGCCCTATGCCATGTGCTTCCAAAAAGTGGCTGTCAGGTCAAGTGCTTGGAAACTCCTCACAAGGGATTTTGACAGATGAGCCAGACAACCCACCTGTCAACAACCCACCTGTCAATAAGGTGATGCCATATTGATGTCATGTGATTGAGAGGTGGGTTGCGATTTTGAATCGAGGCCTAAGATACTTGACTCTTGTGGCAACCAGCAACTGATGGGCATCGTACATCTTGTCAACCATGTGAAAGAGTGAATAAAGCAGCTGAAGTAATTGAGGTTGCTATTGGTACATGCGATGTTAAATTTGATATATTGAGTGAAGGAAATAACTGGATGTCTCTGGTAATGCCCACCAACAACTTCTTTAGTATTTGAATGCTGTTTAAAATCTCTCATCTGTAACATGTCCACCATGACCGAAGCTTTTAATTTGCCGAGAAATTATGCACACACAGCTGCAGAAAAGTAAAATGCACCAGTAAACAATTTTTGAACATTTTTCCTGTGGATGGCACATTACTGCAATATTTGAAAGACGCTAATGAAAAAGTATGTGTAGTATGCTTTCTTAAAAATTTAAAACAGAGGTCAGGTGTGTCTTTGCTCCTCTTTCTTGCAGAAATTTTGTGAACATAATGATTTCAGAAAAATCTTGGCCATATTTGTGTTATTTGTGTAAACCAAATTATTTATTTATGTATAAAGTTTATCATTTGCTTTTCAGCTGCAAGTTGCCCAAGGCAGTGTCCAATTTATAAAACTAGAAGAGCTGGAACAATAAAGCCATTAAGCTGGCACCATTGACAGGGCTATTCTATGCATGTATACCCCGAAGGAAGTCCAGTTGTGTTTAATAGGACTTACTCACTGGTTAACCCAATGTTTCCGAAACTTGGGTCTCCAGGTACTTTTGGAATACAGTTCCCATCATCCCTGACCACTGGTCTTGCTAACTAGGGATGATGGGAGTGATAGTCCAAAAAACAGCTGGTGACCCAGGTTTAGGAAACACCAGGTTAAACAATTTAGGATCCCACATGTTTAATTAGGTAATTAATGTTTTAATTAGAAAAGTGCCCACAGATTAAGTCAGCACCTGTACTATCTAATTTCAATGCATATGCTAGCAAAAGCTACAGCTGCCGATGGCATTTTAGGAGAATTCAAAATATTTTTATTAGAAATTTGCAGGTTAGACCTATTTATGTCGATAACAAATATTGAGGTAAGCTACTTGAAGGCTAGAAGCAACAATTATTAACCAAGAGCTCAGTCCTCTCAAAAATTAGTCCCATTAAAGTTGTTGGGATTCATTCCCACTAAGGGTGCAGGCTGAATATTTGGAAAGTATTTGGAAACCATCTTGGCTTTTCCCACCTGGCCTGAGAGTGAAGGGCCCTGATTGACTCCAGCTACAAAAGCTGAGACTGCTGAAGAGGCCAAAGGCCATCTTGGTAGTCTCTTAAGTGCAGAACCAGGCCATCAAGCCTGAGCTTCCACAGCCACCAGTTGCCATGAGCCACCATTGGCAGCATTAGCAGCAACAGCTGCAAATATGTTCTATACATATGATAATACTTTGCTCTCTTGTTAATTATGCTGTTTTAAATACACATTTCATATTTGACTTCCTTTAGTAATGTTTTCTTTTGAAAAGTTTAAGGTAACTACGCGAGACTATTATTTGTAGACTTTAATTCTGCATTTAATACTATTCTTCTGCATAGATTGGTGCCCAAATTATTAGGCTTGGGACTTCCACCATGCTTGTGCAGGTGGATATTAGATTTTCTATCAAACCGTTCCCAAAGGGTCAGGTTGGGTTCCCACGTCTCTGCAGATCTCATCACGAATACGGGAACGTCGCAGGGGGGCGTGTTGAGCCCACTTTTATCTACACACTGTACAGCTGACTGTGCCCCCAAATACCCCAGTAATAAGATCATTAAGTTCGCAGATGATACAGCGGTAGTTGGTTTAATCACGGCTGGAGAGAGGGAGGAGGCCTATAGGAAGGAAGTTGAGCAGTTGGGGGAGTGGTGCAGGAAAAACAACTTACTCCTTAACTTAAAGAAAACAAAGGAGATCATTGTGGACTTTAGGAAATGTAAATTGAATATTCAGCCTCTTATTATTGAGGGGAAGTGCGTGGAACAGGTCTTGGTGTTTCAATTTCTGGGAATGGAGTTGAGAGACGACCTAACCTGGGGAGAAAACAGCAAAGACCTGATGAATAGAGCACAGCAGAGGTTATATTTTCTGAGAATCCTCTGGAAAAACAGTCTCTCAAAGGACCTGTTGATGGCATTTTACCATTGCACTGTGGCGAGTGTTTGGGAGCTGCACGGCCAGGGAAAAAACAATGCTGTCCAGGGTTGTGAAGACTGCAGAGAGAATAATTGGGTGCACTCTTCCCACCTTAGATCAAATCTATGCTGTCAGGTGCCATAAGAAAGCGGCAGAGATAGCGCAGGATAGTACGCACCCCGGAAATGATCTCTTTCAGCTTCTGCCTTCTGGAAGAAGGTATAGGGTTATTAAGGCCAGGACTAGCCGCCTGAGAAACAGTTTCTATGCAAATGCGATTCTGGTTCTAAATGCAGCATAAGGGGTCTCTATAGTATAGTGTATTTTAAAATGGGGTTTCAGAGTTTTTAGGGGTTTTTGAATGTATTATGTAGTTTTTCAATTTCATTGTTCTGCATGGGACAATGACAATAAAGATGTCGTATATCATAATCCCCTCGTTAGGTTTGCAAGTAAAGAAGCTATGATAGACTCAGTGTTTATTTTCAAATCTCATTATGCTGGTCCAGATTTAACATTCAAATAAATCATTTTAACAAATGTATTTAACAGCTGTTTAGATAACACAGTGAATGGTATGTCAGAACCTACCTTGAATTTATAGTATCTGAATTAAGACTTAACCAGAAGTGTCACATAAACCTAAGAAATTGTTAAGTTCTTGAAGAAGATCATCCCTACACTGTAACAGCAAGTGATTACTTGTTGGTGTTTTCTATTTCTTCAAGAGTGGGACAACATATATTTCTACTTCTGAGAAAGGCTTGTGGCAGTCAAGGAATCTCATCAGTTAGCTGAGTACAGGTAACCCCCAATTTACGTGGGGGTTACATTTCAGTGAAATCACATATACAGTGGTACCTCGGTTTATGAACTTAATCTGTTCCGGAAGTCCATTCTTAAATCAAAGCTGTTCTTAAAATGAGGCGCGCTTTCCCTAATGAGGCCTCCCACCGCCGGTGCCCTTCCACCATTCGGCTTCCGTTCGTAGACCGAGGTAAAGCTAACCAGAACACCTACTGCAGAGTTCTGCAGAGTTCGTAAACCGAACAGTTCATTAACAGGGCTGTTCATAGACCGAGGTACCACTGTATTTGAAACACCACTGAAAAAGCCTGCATAGACCCAATTCTGCCCCTTTTTGTGACATTTTCAGCTCAGTTCTGGCATGATGCACGCAGTCACACACATACCAGACACACTTAAAACAGTCACTGCCTGTAGTCTCAACTACTCACTGAACGTTAAGGATTCATTCACCACCTTACATTATGTTGGTATATGCCAGGCTTCCTCAGCTTTGGCCCTCCAGATGTTTTGAGACTGCAGTTCCCATCATCCCTGACCACTGGTCCTGCTAGCTAGGGATTGTGGGAGTTGTAGGCCAAAAAACGTGGAGGGCTGAGGTTGAGGAAGCCTGGTATATGCTGTTATCTACAAGACATACCTTTCTGCATTCTGCATAAAACAAACAGGTTAGTCCTTAGGAAAGTGAATCAACTCACACAAATCGGACACATAGCTGTCACCTTTCAGATTTGAAAATAAGGGATCAGCAGCCTCGAAAATAAGGGATCAGCAGCCTCACCTGTCCCAGGGACAGTTTACAGGATATCTAACAATCCGGGACAGCAGCGGGAAACGGTGCTGGAATAAGGGAATTTCCCACCAAAAAAGGGAAGGTTGACAGCTATGATCGGACATCAAGAGTGATACTTAGCTGCAAGCCCACCCCTTTCAATCAGTAAAATAGAAGGTAATAATGGAGACGTTTCTAGGTTTGTTTTAAGGATTACAGCCGGATCTGAGGTAGCCAGTGTGGTACCCTCCAGAAGTTATTGAACTACAACTAATGATCCCTGGCTATTGACCATGATAGTGGCTGGTGTCAATGGGAGTTTGAGTCCAACATCTGGAGGTCATCATGTCTACTCTGAATATGAAACACTTTGAACTCTCAAAAACCCATATAAAAGTTAAGTATTAAATTTCATACCTTTAGAATTCTAAACTTAAATGTGTTCTTATTTAGGAAAACGCTTGAAAACCCTTTTCTTGAAGGAGGGATGACATGTAATGGACCAGATAACTGTGAAGCTCGTGCCACTCCAGAGGATGATCCTGACCAAGATCTTGCTAAAGAATGCTCCAGACTACAAACATTTACCAATTTTCCAAGTCACTGTCCTATCTCCTCCTCAACTCTAGCCCAAGCTGGTTTCTTCTACACTGGAGAGGGAGACAAAGTAAAGTGTTTTAGTTGTCATGCAGTCATTGAAGGATGGCAAAATGGGGACTCGGCAGTTGGAAGACATAGAACTGTTTCTCCAAACTGCAAGTTTATTAATGCCATTAAGATTCTGAAGAATGATACGCATTCTGTTTTCCCAAACTGTTCACACAGAACTGAAATCAGCCTTGCAGCTGACTCTCCCCAACCCCCTCTTGATCCATCCTCTGATCTCTATGCAGATTATCTTTTGAGAAGTGGGCAAGTGGTAGATCTCTCTGGTTCTCTGTACCCCAGAAATCCTGCCATGTGTAGTGAAGAAGCCAGGCTGAGATCTTTTCACAACTGGCCCTCCCATACTCTTATCACTCCGAAAGAGCTGGCCCATGCTGGACTCTATTACACTGGCACTGGTGATGAAGTTGAGTGTTTCTGCTGTGGAGGAAAACTGAAAAACTGGGAACCTTCTGATCGTGCTTGGTCAGAGCACAGACGCCACTTCCCTAGGTGTTTTTTTGTCCTCGGCCACGATGTGGGAAATGTTGGAAGTGTTTCAAATCAATCTGGTGATACCAGCCTGGATAGAAGTGACATACATAATGCTGACCTTCCCCAAACTCCATCTATGGCAGATTACGAAAACCGAATCAAGACTTTTGCAACATGGAGGTATTTGGTTAGCAAGGAGCAACTTGCCCAAGCAGGCTTTTATAGCCTAGGTAAGCTGAATACAGAGCTTCAAAGTTTGTATTGCTATCCCTCAAGGGGGGAAACGACGTTATATGATTAGTAGTGCCTAACATGGTTTCAATGAGCTCTTAATAAAATTAGCAAAATGATGGAATTAAAAGCAGTGGCCTTTTTCAATTCTCTTACTGTTTTTTAGAGCACCAAGTTTGACTAACTCTTGTTAACATGTTAACACTAGTGTGTAATTCTAATTTTGGTGCTTTTTAAATAATTCAAACAACTGAGTCACTGTTTTTGTTTTTTGTGCTAAATAATCTTCAAATGAAATATTTGTTCAAGTGCATAATTATTATTATGTCCTTTGCATTGGAGAGGATATACTTTTCATGTACTGTACTTGATTTAGTGCAGATTCTTTTTCTTCCAACTTACTTAAAATTCACCCCATCCCAAGAACTTGGGATAGTTAAAAATATGTTAATGACAGAAATTTACAGTTGGCCTGTTCTTAGAAACCAAAAGTCAAATTGAATGTAAAAGTCTTACGCTGCATAGGAGTTTAATAGGCTACCTTAAATGATGTGGTGGGACATAAATATGGACATGCTGGTTTTCAATGATGCACAGTTCATTTGTGCTGAACTTTGGTTCCGCCTCAGAAAAATGTGAATATCTGTATGTTAATTTGTATAAAAGCAGCCTTGTGTAGAGGAGAAAAGTGTTGCCTAGCCACTTGAAAATAAAATAGGGGGTTCTAAGAGAAAAGATAAGGAATGATAGATAATTTTCCTTTTAAAATACAGCTTGTCTACCTCAACTTACCTGCTGCAATGGGTGCATATGTGTCTTGGGGCACACACTAGTTCATCTGAGGCAGTTGAGAGGCATGATCAGCAGCACCCCATGTAAACTGAATGTTCACCCCAGACACTCCGGAGTCTGCAGCGCAAGCATGCTAGACAGATTAATGTGGAAGGTGAAAGTGAAAAGGCCTGAAAACAGTTGATTTAATTAGGGCAAAACTTGCCCCCATTTTGGATCATTTTCTCCAGGACTGCTCACCTGGCATAATAAGCTTTCATTCAATTTGAAGAAATATTTGCAGAGGCAGATTTTATTAAGAGCTTATACATGAATATATTCCTACTTCTCCACAGGTAATGGTGATAACGTTGCATGCTTTCACTGTGGTGGAGGATTACAAGAGTGGAAGACAGATGAAGATCCTTGGGAGCAGCATGCAAAATGGTTTCCTGGGTGAGGCACTTCATTTCTCCCTATGTGTATTATCTGTTATCTCTGCTAGTGTCTATATATACATACTGTACATTGTATACTTATGTTAATAAGTACTCTTCATGTGGTTCCATTCCATTTTCAGGAGACTCTGCAAATGTAGATTACCTATTTGTAAAGTGGTCTGTGATGTTGGAATTTAAACCAGCTGCTCTGTGACCTCCTTTGCAAGCTTCTCACTAATCTATTCTTTAATATTTCCCTTAACATTTTATTTTTGGGAGGGGTGCAGAGACATTCCAGACAGCAGCCTGGTAGGAAAGGGAGGTAATCTCAGAAAGAGTTGTTCTGTCTGTCAGCTCGGAGGCAAAGTTATGTGGGAGATGCAGTTGGGAGAAATTGGATCTCTAGGGCTTCTGAATCCTGGGCAAGTTTTGGTGATTGCTCCCTGCACTGTCCCTCTCCCTATGATGGAATGGAAACAGTCCAACAGAGACCTCACTGCTTATGTTGGTAAATAGGATCTGTGATTGATGCTTCCAAAGCCTCTTCTTTCTGGGGAAAGGGTGAAAAGAGAGCTGTACCGTTAGCAAGCAAATTAAAAGATGGAATATAACATGGTAGGGCGGGAGCTTGTTTGTTTGTTGTTTCCAAATCAGTCACTCACTGCACCTGTCAATGATTTAAAGCAGTAATTTGGTTTTTAACTTCCAGGTAATCTGATCCGTGTACATTTTAAGGAATTATGTCAACTTCCACTTCCATAACATATTAAGAACTTTTTTTCATAGGCTACTATGTTCTTCCAGATTCACTATAAGTGCATTCTTCCATGTGACTGTTTTAGGTAATATCAATTTTATTTAGTTCAAATATTTTCCATCTAGGTGCAAATACCTGATAGAAGAAAAGGGGCAAGACTTTGTGAATAACATTCATTTAACACCACAACAGGATTCTACAGTAAGTGTGTGTCTTCTCCACTCTCCCCACCTTCCTGTCCCCAGGAACCATGCTTTCTGGATACCTCCATTGAAAATCTATTTTAAGATAAATGTAATTTTGAACTATAAATTCACTGAACCAGTCAAATGAATAAAAGGGCTTTGGTTACTATCTTGCCATCTTTCTCCAGCTGCCTATGTTTGAACAGATGGTGCTTCCATATGTTGTTGTAAAGGTTAATTACTATATGCTGCATTCAAGTTACTTAATTTATTATTAGTATTATTAGTATTAGTATTAGTATTTATTAGTTGGTTTCTTTTGCCAAAAACAACTGAAAGTGATTTGCCACCAGAAAAACAAATAAACAAAAATCCACATAGATAAATGAAAAGAAAAGAAAAAACCATCCCTATAAAAATGTAAAAATTAAAAATACTGTTTCAGTGTGAGATTCCAGGGGTTCCAGGTGCTTACCCAGGGTTTGTGCTTCATTTGGGAATGAGGCAAAGTGGAGACTGGAGTCTTTAGGAACTGACAACACCTCCAACTTCCACCTCCATGTCCTTAGTCTTGCTCAGCTGCTGCTTCTGTTGCTGCTGTTGTTGCTGCTTCTGGTGGTGGTTCCTGTCAGGCAGTGGCAGTGGAAGCATGATGATGATGGGGAAAACATGGATAGTAAATGAGCATAAGACTCCATTTAGAATTATTGGTCCAGAATACATGCTGTTCTCAGCAGAGTAATTTACTTGCTCAAATTTTAAAAATGGGCTTGTATAAATCGCAATACTACTTTATTGTTTTTAGGGCTTCAATGTAATATTGCTAGACTATGATTATCTATGAATGTACATTATTAAAAATAGCACTGGTCGTTCCTTCAGCCTGAAGATTACAATTTACAGATTGACAAATGGGGCTGTATCCAATATAGTCAGACTCTGAGTAGACCCACTGAAATTAATGGATAATAATAATAATAATAATAATAATAATAATAATAATAATAATTTATTATTTGTACCCCGCCCATCTGGCTGGGTTTCCCCAGCCACTCTGGGCGGCTTCCACAGAGACCAAAAATACACTAAAAAGTCACACATTAAAAACTTCCCTGAACAGGGCTGCCTTAAGATGTCTTCTGAATGTCAGGTAGTTGTATATCGCTTTGACATCTGATGGGAGGGCGTTCCACAGGGCGGGCACCACTACTGAGAAGGCCCTCTGCCTGGTTCCCTGTAGCTTTGCTTTTCGCAATGAGGGAACTGCCAGAAGGCCCTCGGCGCTGGACCTCAGCATCCGGGCAGAACGATGGGGGTGGAGATGCTCCTTCAGGTATACTGGGCCGAGGCCGTTTAGGGCTTTAAAGGTCAACACCAACACTTTGAATTGTGCTCGGAAACGTACTGGGAGCCAATGTCGGTCTTTCAAGACCGGTGTTATGTGGTCTTGGCGGCCGCCCCCAGTCACCAGACTAGCTGCCGCATTCTGGATTAGTTATAGTTTCCAGGTCACCTTCAAAGGTAGCCCCACGTAGAGCGCATTGCAGTAGTCCAAGCGGGAGATAACTAGAGCATGCACCACTCTGGCAAGACAGTATGTGGGCAGGTAGGGTCTCAGCCTGCATACCAGGTGGAGTTGGTAGACAGCTGCCCTGGACACAGAATTGACCTGCGCCTCCATGGACAGCTGTGAGTCCAAAATGACTCCCAGGCTGCGCACGTGGTCCTTCAGGGGCACAGTTACCCCATTCAGGACCAGGGAGTCCTCCACACCAGCCTGCTCCCTGTCCCCCAAAAACAGTACTTCTGTCTTGTCAGGATTCAGCCTCAATCCATTAGCCGCCATCCATCCTCCAACCGCCTCCAGGCACTCACACAGGACCTTCACCGCCTTCACTGGTTCTGATTTGAAAGAGAGGTAGAGCTGGGTATTATCTGCATATTGATGGACACCCAGTTCAAACCTCCTGATGATCTCTCCTAGAGGCTTCATATAGATGTTAAAAAGCATGGGGGAGAGGATGGATCGCTGAGGCACCCCACAAGTGAGGGCCCAAGGGTCTGAACACTCATCCCCCACCCCCACTTTCTGAACACGGCCCAGGAGGAAGGAGCGGAACTACTGTATAACAGTGCCCCCAGCTCCCAGCCCCTCTAGACAGTCCAGAAGGATGTTATGGTCGATTGTATCAAAGGCCGCTGAGAGATCCAGCAGAACTAGGAAACAGCTCTCACCTTTGTCCCTAGCTTGCTGGAGATCATCAACCAGCGCGACCACTTTCAGTCCCATGATGAGGCCTGAATCCCGATTGGAAGGGATCCAAATGGTCCGCATCCTCCAGGCGTGCCTGGAGTTGTTCAGCAACCACTCGCTCAATCACCTTGCCCAGGAATGGAAGATTTGAGATTGGGCAATAGTTGGCCATACTGGCCGGGTCTCAAGATGTTTTTTTAAGAAGCGGTTTAATGACCGCCTCTTTCAGTGGATCTGGGAATGTTCCCTCACAGAGGGAAGCATTCACCACCCCACAGAGCCCATCACCCAGCGCTTCCCGGCTTGCTTTTATTAGCCAGGATGGGCAAGGATCAAGGAGACAGGTGGTTGGTTTCACACGTCCAAGTAGCCTGTCCACATCCTCGGGGGTAACGGATTGAAATTGATTCCATATATTTTGCCTGTGCAACCAGTGGCAGACTTGGGTACTATGGTGCCCTGTGGAAGTTCAAAATTTGGTGCCCTTCCCAACCCTCACACTGCCTTACCAAAGGTAAGAAAGAGAAACCCCCAGGTTTCTCTGTCCTCCATCAATCGCGGACTGTGGGTCAGGAGTAGCGTTGTTAATCCAGGAGGATTGCTCTTTCAGAGCTCTGCCAGCACCGGCGATCTCCGGCATTGAATGTGTTGGTCTCATGTGGGGGCACCAAGGAGAGCTTGGCTGTCTGGCTGGTGTACCAACCACGCAGCGCACTGGCAGCCACCCTGTCAGACCTGCTAGAGGTGGTGGTGGGCTGGGCCTTGGAGTTCCCAAGCCTACTGGTTTTGGAAGACTTCAATGTTCCATGCCAATGCCGCTCCCTCCTCACAGGCTCTGGACCTAGTGACTTCCATGGCAACACTAGGGCTTTCCCAGTTTGCTTTGGGCCCCACTCACCAAGCAGGCCACACACTGGATCTGATCTTTGGTGCTGGCATAGATGTGATCATGCTCCCCTCTGTGGAAGTTCCATGGTCAGATCACTACACTCTGAAAGCCAAGATTGACTTCCCACTCCTCCCCTGCTCGGGTGGCGAGCCTATTTGGGCTCGCCCGCAAAGGCTGATGGATCCTGATAGAGTCCGTCAGGCCTTGGGGGACCCTGCTCCTCCTGGCGACTCATTAGATGACCTTGTTGAGGACTGGAATAACCGGCTCTTGGCGGCCATTGATGAGATTGCACCTAAGCTCCCTCTGCGACCCCATCAAAACCGGGCCCCTTGGTTTACTGTGGAGCTTCGGAAAATGAAGCGGGATCTCAGACAGCTAGAGCGAGTATGGCGATGGATTCGTGACGGAACTTCAAGAACATCTTATAGGACGCTTATGAAAGCCTATGAGCACAAATTCGACCCACAGCTGTGAGGCATTTGCAAACTTTTTTGCGGAGAAAGTCCTGCTGTTCCGCCGTGACCTCCCTGCCAATTTAGATACAGTGACAGAACTGGAGGCCCCTCGACTATCTTCAGGTCCAGTGTTACTCCCTGCTGATGTGGATAGATTCCTCCAAGCTGGTAGGCCCACCACCTGCCTCCTTGATTCATGCCCGTCTTGGCTGATCAGGGCGTGCCCAGATGTCGCACGGACCCCCTGGTTGAAATTATCAGTTTGTCCCTTGGCACAGGGACATTCCCAGGGGAGCTGCAGGAAGCAGTGGTGTGTCCACTCTTAAAGAAAACTTTACTAGATCCTTTAGACCTATCCAGTTACCGCCCAGTTTCAAATCTTCCATATCTGGGTAAAGTAATTGAGAGAGCGGTTGCTGAACAGCTTGGTAGGTTTCTGGAGGAAACATCAGCTTTAGATCCATTTTAGTCCGGGTTCCGTCCTGGTTTTGGGACCGAGACGGCTCTGGTTGCCATAACAGATCATCTCCATAGACAACTGGATCAAGGCGGGTCAGGACTGCTGATTCTTTTAGATTTGTCAGCAGCCTTTGACATGGTTGATCATGATCTTCTGGACCACGACCTCACCGACGTGGGGATACAGGGCATAGCCCGTAAATGGCTGTGCTCTTTTATCTTTGGTCGGGAACAGAGGGTGGCACTAGGGAGGGAGATGTCGTTGCACCACTCCTTGGTGTGTGGAGTGCCACAGGGCGCAATCCTCTCCCCGATGCTTTTTAACATCTTTATGCGCCCCCTTGCCCAGATTGTCCGGAGCTTTGGGCTGGGTTGTCACCAATATGCTGATGACACTCAGCTCTATCTGCTGATGGATAGCCACACCGACTTGGCCCCGGACACACTGACCAGATGCTTGGAAGCTGTGGCTAGATGGTTTCGTGGGAGCCGATTGAAACTAAATCCTTAGAAGACAGAGGTGCTCTGGCTGGGTCAGGATGGTATGGGGATGAGGGACCAACTCCCTTTTCTTGCGGGGGCCCAATTAGTGCTATTGCCTTCCATTAAGAGTTTGGGTTAATCCTTGACGCCTCCCTTTTCATGAAGGCGCAGGTTACAGCAACAGCCAAGGCGACATTTTTCCACCTTTGCCGCATCAAGCAGTTGGTCCCTTACCTTTCCCGCCCCAACCTGGCCACAGTGATCCAGGCCACGGTCACCTCCAGGCTTGACTACTGTAATTCGCTCTACGCGGGGTTGCCCTTGAAGCTGTCCCAGAAACTCCAGCGGGTGCAGAATGCTGCAGCGAGGCTCCCCACGGGGTCTGTGCAATGGGAGCATATTCACCCAGTGCTTTTCCAGCTGCACTGGCTCCCGGTGGAGTACAGGGTCAGATTTAAGGTGCTGGTTTTGACCTTTAAAGCCCTTCATGGCCTAGGACCCTCATACCTATGGGACTGCCTCTCCCGGTATGCCCCACGGAGGACCTTAAGGTCCATAAATAGCAACACTCTAGAGGTCCCAGGCCCTAAGGAAGTTAGATTAGCCTCAACCAGAGCCAGGGCTTTTTCAACACTGGCTCCGGCCTGGTGGAATGCTCTGCCTCATGAGACCAGGGCCCTGCAGGATCTGATTTCTTTCCGCAGGGCCTGTAAGACAGAGTTGTTCCGCCTGGCCTTTGGCTTGAAGTCAATTTGATTCCCTCCCCCTCTTTTTTTCTCTTTCTCCTCCAGTGATGAGGCTGCATTTTAATTGTTTTAGTGTTTTAATGTTGTATTTTAATCTTGTTTTTAAGTTGCATTCATTCAACTTGTTTTTATTATTGGTTGTTAGCTGCCCTGAGCCCGGTCTTGGCTGGGGAGGGCGGGGTATAAATAAATTTTGTTGTTGTTGTTGTTGTTGTTGTTGTTGTTGTTAAATCCACCCTTGGTGATATCCACCCTTCTCCACTGTTTTTTTTTATAAAAAAAAACTATCATTTGGCTCCTCCTTGAACCATTCCCAAACACAGTAACTTCTCAGAGGGAGAGGTGATTTCACTCTCAGTACTGAGTCCTGCAACAGCCATTCCTCTTGATCACTGTGTGACTTCCTTTCCTAACAATAGATGTAGTTGGTACTTGAATTTGCTTATTTCTCTTTCTTTCGTACCACTTTTCTTAGATTGTAAGCCATTATTTTAAAATGTTGAGTGCTTTGGCGGTAAGGTTGATTTAAATGTAGCAAGTAAATGGGGGGGGGTGTAATGTGTTTGTAACTGTGGTTTGTATTTTTGTGTTTTTGTATTGTAAACCAACCTGTGATCTTTGGATGAAGGGTGGTACAGAAATTTAATAAATAATAATAATAGTAATAAACTGCTCTAGCACAAGATTTTACAGAACAACACCAGTAGTTCTTTTCTATTCTGCTCACAGTTCATTACATCCATTCTAATGTCAGTGTTTCTGTTTAGATAGAGGAAGCAGAGAAGTTTTCACACTTTACAGGTATGGATACAAATGTTTGTAACTGTCCTGCTCAGTTTGTTACTCAGTAAGCCTAACAACGGTCACAAGGTCTTCAGTAAACTAAGCTTCCTGTATTTGTTTGTGCTCTTCCTCTCCTTGGATTTGTAAGGGAGATGGCAAAACCACAATCAACATTACCATAAAAATCTGGTTGAAGCATAGAAAGATTCTCCTCCTCGAAGAGAGACTTTACATTCCTTCAGTGGAGTCTTTTCTAGTCCCAAAGGAAATCTGAAATACAGTTTGCAGCAAGGAACACTTGGGGAAGAGGGAGGCCAGGTAGAGGCAATGAATGAGTCTTGCTCAAGTTTAAGCAGAAGGTAATAGGGAGGAGCCAGCTCCTGTGTGAGTTCCTGGGAATAATACATCTGGAAAAAATAGCATAGAGCAGCCTCAGAATTTGAGTCTGAAAAGATGAACGAAATTGGGATGTGATATGCACCTAGCAGAAGGAAAATTTAGCAGATAGCCTCACCCTGAGCTTGAAAAGTCTTTCCAACAAAGGATTTGGACCTGAATGTCCTCACATAACAAAAAGCATAGATCGTATAGTTCTTGGGCCAACCTGACTCGTGTCAACTAAGTGCCATGCCACAGGACTAGAGCTCAGCCATTAGGGCACTCTAGGAGCTCTACCTGCACTTCAGGAAACTTTCATTCCGGTTTTAATCTTACATGTATCTGAACAATGATAAGTTGTACTGTAAACTATGTTTTACATTAAGTATTTTAAAGTAATTCAGTATATCAGGACACCTGCTGTATTTTTATCTCAGTTAATTTCCTTGCTTTGATTATATTTTCATCTCCTGGTTTTGCAGATGAGGAACTTTTACAGAACCAGCTGGTACAGAATGCAATGCACATGGGTTTCAGCCTGGATGAAATTAGGAGCACTGTGGAAAGGAAATGTCATCTGTCCGCAGAGGGCTACAGATCTATTGAGACATTGGTCACTGACTTAATCAGTGCCCAAAGAGATAATAACCCTAGTGCATCCTGCGAAAGCACCTTGCAAAAAGGTGAGCACAGTATATGTCCAAAGCATATATGGGAATTGAGAACAAGAAAGGTTGCTCTGGATGGGATATATTTTTGCTTGAGGGCAGAGTGTTTGCTCATGGATACATGTAGTGGGGTTTTGGTGACCAGAATTTTGGGCAGCAGCACCCTTCCAACATTTTATTACACATTACTCCATTGACTGACTGCTTTGACAGCTGTTTCCTATTTCTTTTTTGGTATGTTCTTGGTGTTCACTGATTTATCATTTTTAAAATACTTGTCCTGCTATTCCATTTAACATTCCTTCTGATGTTGGTCTAGGAAGACCCAGCTGCTCAGTATGTTGTTTAGAAGTTTGTTGGGGGTCAAGATTTAATTTTAGAGGTGCATTAATTTTGCTGCTATTATGCATTTGCATTTTTTATTGTTAGATCTTGTGTATTACTTGAGGATTACTTGATTTTATTGTATATTTTTCGAGATGTTTTCATTAGTTCATTGTTTTTGATATATGTATAATATGTAACTGTTAGAGGATTATACATTTCTGTTGTTTATTTTTTGCTGTTGTAAGCCACCTTAGTATGGTTTGACTATGGATAGATGACATACAAATTGGTGATCAGTTGAATAATTCCCCTAACTTTCTGGTAATCTTTGGATAATTTTCCTTTGTTTCTACAAACATGTTGGTAAGCAAATATTGTTACCGCTTTTGCTTTATAGTTTAAAACAAAATTTATTTATTTATTTATTTATTTTAAAAAAAACAAAAATTGGCAGGTGTACAAAACATTTTGTATGCCAAAAATGCATAGTCTCTAAAGAGTTAGGCTGGTAGTTTTATCCTCATAATGTGGGGTAAATTAGTTGTTGCTTTGTTTATTTAATGTACCTTTCACCCATTCTTCCAGAGAATTTTCAAGGTGACTTCTAAACATAGAATCAAACAATAGCTAAGGCTGCAATCCTAATCCCATTTACCTGGGAGTAAGCCCCACTGAATTCAATTGGAGTTCCTTCTGAATAGACATGATAAGATTGTGCTGTAAATTAGCAGTCTCAGTGAAAAGAACAAGAAAATAGGCAAGGAAAAAAGCTCTCAAATGGACTGTAGCGACAAAACACAAAATTATTGTTTGCTGAAAGGTTGGTCAAAAAACAGTTGACCTGGTGCTATGTTATTTTCCCTTTGATACAGGAGTCTGTCCTCTACTGATCTAAAGACTAACTGGCTCTCTGTTCTTTTTGTTAAACAAGTGAGAAAAAGTGATCTAGGGACAGTTTATTGTCAGCAGTTCAAAACTTAAACTGAGGATGACTACTCTAGTAAAATTCCAATGGAATTTTAAAAGGCATCCCAATAAACAAAAATAGGAAAGGCAATATACTGGGAACAGAGGCTAGAAAACCTGGTAAATGAGGACAGTTGCAGCTCATTAAAGGTTCACAACTTGTACTCTTGTCCAATATGCCACATCAGCTTAATTTAAGTTGTCAGCTATGTCTTTTTTTGTCAATAGTTGTCATATTTGTTTAAGGAGGGAAAACATTTCAAGAATTTTTTATAACTTTCTGTTTCCTTCTTAGATCTCAGTGCTGAAGAGAAATTAAGAAGTTTGCAAGAAGAAAAGCTTTGCAAAATCTGTATGGATAAAACTATATCAGTAGTCCTCATTCCTTGTGGACATCTTGTTGCTTGTAAGGACTGTTCTGAAGCGGTTGACAAATGTCCTTTGTGTTGCACAGTTATTACAAAAAGGCAGAAGGTATATATGTATTAATAAAAGCATCATACTATGCAACTGGAAAACTCCTACCATTACAGAAATAGATTGACTGCATATGCAGTGTTAATATGTAAATGGTTTTAAAGGAAATTAAGCTTAAATTGAATGCACTGATTTACTCTATGAATTATGTAGCTGCTAAATTGTGTGTACTTTGACTCACTTTAGTCCTGATGGCCTGACCCCGAGAGCCACAATGTATGTAGAGGCATCAGAAAGCTGTCCTGAGATGGTATATAGGGCAATATTTAGTTATGTCACCCACCACCACCTGCAGTCTGAAGGGATACAGCTCAAGCAGAAGCTTACTTCCCCAGTAAGAACTAGGCTAGAGTTGCCCTGAGGTCTAGCCAAAGTTTTGTCCCATGAATGGCAAAGTGTTTGAAGAATGTTTCACACCAGGGCAGAGAGAATCGGTAGATCAACATTATTTTATATCGCTTAGGATGCAGTGGCAAGTTGATTGCACTTCATGTGTCTTTGTCATAGAAATGGAAAGCACATTATATCTCTACAACATTCAGTTTTCATAATGCATGTATATAAATAATTTATGTTGTTGTTTTATGTCTAGACCTTCTAGGATGTTTGGGGAGTTTCAGAACAATAGCTTTTTGTTGGTGTTTTTAACTCTAATGACTCTTTAGTCTCCAGTTGAGAGTTGAATTGCTGATGGGGAACCTCTCCTATATGTCAGAAGGCTTATTCCAGTGATTTGAAGGAAATAGTTGAAAATTAATCCTATTTTGTACAATTTGTATTTCAAAATATTTACATCTACTAGTGTTAAATGTCAGGTGGTTATGTTTCCCCTTCCACCAGCTCACTTAATATATTTGTTACTGGTGTCTCTTTCTTGTTGACTTTGCAAATGGATTTGTTGAATTTTGCCATTCTGTAGATCTATATATATCATGCTGCTTACTATCATGGTTAGATCTGCATGAACACTAACTGAAAATATGTGTGACATCTTACATGCATAAATCTATATGATTTGGGCTTTTTCCATTAAACTGCAACATTACAGCTGCAGTTCTGCCTGAGTTCTATATTTGGAAATGCTGTTGACTTTATTGGGAGTTACAAAAGAGCATAGGATTGCAATATTTGGGCTTGATTTAAAACACTGTTAGGACCATTCCCTTAAGTTGCTAGAAGGAGCAGCATGGTGGCACAGATAAGTCTCTGAGCCCCAGGGCTGGCAGCAAGTTTTTGTAGTAGCTGTAGGGCACCATGCCCTGCTGCTCTGTGGAACTGCATTGTGGAACAGGCTTTAAATGTATTTGCTAGTTGATTTGAAAACAATCCAAAGGATAAATACCTCCAAGATGTGCAGTAATCAAACAGGCTTTTGTATAACATTTGGTTTCCCACTTACTTTAGAGTTATCTACAAGTCACATGTTTTGAATATGATTCACATTGGTTAAGCTCAGTCAACCTAATGCTGTTGTTCATTGTAGTTTGTGTAAGAGCACACAGCCTATCAACATTAATTAGTACTGTGCAGCGGCACTGCTAGTTAAATTATACCCTTCGTTGGTAATTTATCCATCCTGATGGTTATATCTTTGTAGCTTTCATTCTTATCCATTTGTGTTTGCATCATAATGAGAATATGATCTGTATCCAAAAGGGATTTCCACAGCATTTATTCACCCTCCCCACTTCTTTCACTTTATTTTAAAATATATTTTTTAATTTTATTACAATTGATAGCAGCTTTAAACTATGTATATTTTGTGGACAATATTTAAACACACTTATGCAAACAAATAGGTTTGGAATCTAACTGTATAATGAGTTTTGATTGTAAATATTGTTGATCTATAACTATAAAATAATGGTTCACCACCATCTGGAGCAAATATATGCCAATGTCTTGACAGGTGATATATTTTTTTAAAAGTAGTATAATCATGTAATATAATCTTAGTACTATTTTGCAGTTCAACTCTGACGATTTTTAATAAAGTGATTTTATATTATATATTGAAATTTATTTCTCACATTCATAAGGGACACCACAAATAAGTCCGACTCCTGTCTTTTCTCTTCCCCTTCTTATTCTTTGGATACAGTAGAGTTGAGAATATTAGTGCTTCAGTTGGAGTTACCATCTCACTTCCCATCAAAGTATTCATACAGGGGAGAACCACATCAATGCTTGGAATGTGGAAGGAGCTTCAGCTTAAAGCAAAGTCTCACTAGGCGTGAAATAATTCATGATGGAATGAAACTATAAAAGCTGTGATTGCTAGCAGTCACTGAATCAGAAACAGCTGTGCTACAAGGTGTGAATCTACACCCATACGTGTTTCCAGCACTCTTGTATAAACAGGTTTAGAATCTTACTGGAGTTAAAACATGCATCCACTATAAATATGTGTTTCTGTTCTTATCCTTATGCCCCTTAAAGATGTTGCACACACCAGAGGAGGTATCTTCAGCTTTGTCAGACCCAGGACCCACTGTTAACCCAAACATGCATTTGGGGACCCATTTCTTAATCTTATACCATATATTTGTATACTGGTAGTGCTCCTCTTGCACCGCACCTTGATTATACCTTTGAATCAGATTGTGACCAACTGGTTGCAACTGGTCCCAACCCACCAGTGGAAGACCACAACCCCAGCGGAATAAAGAAAGATTGGTTTATTATAATAAATGGAAGTGATAGCATATACAGCTGCTGTTTTCAGGCAGCAAGCTTACAATAAAAGTCGGTAGCAAATCGGGCAGCATGCACACCTTGACCATGAGGGTAAAAAGAATCCCTGTACTATCCTAAAGAAAGGTGTGGAATGGGTATCTCTGTCCTAAAGAAAGCAGAACCTGTTAGGGATCTGAGGTCTGTACCTTTGGTCTTGAGTTCTGCTCTTCTCAGTAGCCTCAACCTGCAAGACTACAGCATCCCTCTCAGCCCTTTGGTCCATGTCCAGCAAGGCATGAAGCAGGGAATTCCACTGGAGCTTTGAACTACCCAACCATTGAGAATTGGGGATTTAAGTATTATTTGGAGCCAACGTATCCTTATGGGAAAGGGATGAGTGAGGGTTATAACAGCTTTATTTTTAGTACCATTGTTTGTTTCCTACAAGTTCCTGTATGTTTACTATTTTGAAGTTGAAAGAAGATGACCCTGGTAAGAAATGACTCGTTGGTTATATTATATTTCTCCTGTTTCAGGAGTTTACCATTGGAGGAAGATTCTGTAGTCTGTGGAGAATGCCATTCCTTCCCACAGGAGGTGATAATTAAATTTTGCTGGTAACACAGGATTAGTGTACTGAGGTTTACATTAAGCTTTAGGAGGTCAGGATATTTACCCATATATTCCAGAACACATCACAAGTTACAATTTCTAGCGTTGCTTCATGCCACAATAGCCGTACATTACTCAGAAATACGCCCCACAGAATTCAGTAGAGATTGCTTACATACTAGTATGACTAGGGTTGCAGCTTGAATAGGCTAGTCTTATCAGTGTCACACAGAACTTTCAACAAGTTACCCCATCTGTTTCTAGAGCAATGGGAAATTATTTTCCCAAGGATCCAGTTTATTCATTCCTTCGACATCTTTCCAGCCATGGCAGGCACTGTAACTTTCCCAGTAGTTTGACTTTACCCCCAAAGGTGCACTCCGCCATTGTCTCCTGAGAAAGACTGATGCCAACCAGTGACAGTAAAAACAACACAGCCCCAGCCCTTTCATTAAAAGCATTCAGGTTCCCAAAAGGCTGTTGGAACAAGAAAGTCTGCTGGCAGAAGGACAACAAGGAGGAAGTAAGTGCAGCTTCTCCAGGGAGGGAGTTCCAGAGTCTGGGAACAACCACAGAGAAGGTCCTCTTCCACATCCCTATCAAGGGTGGCTGTGAGGGTGGCAGGACCAAGAGAGGGTTCTTCCCCAGATATCCCCAAACCCAAGTAGGTTCATATGAGGGAATATGGGCATTCAGATAGCTTGGACCCAAGCCAAATAGGGCTTCATAGCTCATAACCAGCATTTTGAATTGTGCCTGGAAACAAACTGGTAGCCTGTAGAGCGATTATAAGAAGAAAGTTGAATGCTCGCTAGAACCATCCCCTTTCAAAAATCTGGCTGCAGCTCTTTGAGCAAGTTGGAATTTCAGTGCACTTTTCCAAGGTGGCTGTCACATAGAGCATGTTACAGGAATCAAGAGAGGATGTAGCCAAAGTGTGTGTGTCCCTGCCCATCTGCATAAGTCTTTAAAGGGCTGCTTGGCTATTGTTTGTTTCTGCTGTAAATCATTATGTGTTCACTGCCTTTTGATCTTGAGGCGCTAAGCAAAAACATCCTTCTTCTCACAGGCCTGTTATTTTATATTGTAAACTGCCCTGTGATCCTCACATGAAGGGTGGTATAGTAGTCGTAGTAGTAGTAATAGGAGCCTAGTAAGTTTGAAATAAGCATAGATATCAGCCTTGTATTTGATGCTCTTAGTGATGTATGGAAGTGAGAGCTGGACCATAAAGAAGGCTGATCGCCGAAGAATTGATGCTTTTGAATTATGGTGCTGGAGAAGACTCTTGAGAGTCCCATGGACTGCAAGAAGATCAAACGCATCCATTCTTAAGGAAATCAGCCCTGAGTGCTCACTGGAAGGACAGATCGTGAAGCTGAGGCTCCAGTACTTTGGCCACCTCATGAGAAGAGAAGACTCCCTGGAGAAGACACTGATGCTGGGAAAGATGGAGGGCACAAGGAGAAGGGGGCGACAGAGGACGAGATGGTTGGATAGTGTTTTCGAGGTTACCAGCATGAGTCTGACCAAACTGCGGGAAGTAGTGGAGGACAGAGGTGCCTGGCGTGCTCTGGTCCATGGGGTCACGAAGAGTCGGACACGACTAAACGACTAAACAACAACAACAACAACATTTGATGCTCTGCTGGGAGCAGAGGAGAGATACAGCACTCCACCACCAGCCTGCTCTCTATTATCTGCATGCAATTCTTCATCACCTGTGGCTATCAGATTAGTGCTTAAATACAAGGCTTGTTTATTTGTTCATGGGTTGCTATATCCTTTGACTGCATCTTCAGTCTGCCAGCCTTGATAATCAGCCAAGAAAAGTTCATATAAACTTTTGACTCCCCACCCTGCCTGTTCCTATGCATGAATATTAAAATGCCCTTGTTATAAATTTTAAAGAACATTCCATATGAACTTGACTTCCTCCCCCCCCCCTCAGTGGACTGAAATGTGAAGTCAATATTAATATTTAGATTTTATGTACAGTCGGCTCTGCTTTGTAGCTCTGCTGTCATCAGCTCTTGCAATAGATTCTTATAATCTTCAAAGGCTTGGATTTCAGCTTTCATAGAAGCAGGCCTATTATTTTGCAGGCACAGTTATATGGATTCAAAATTTCAGTGTTGCAGAAATGCTTTTGATGGGTTTGAAGCTTGTATGTTATGTAAAGTTAGCTGTCTTATTCACAGCTTGAAATTGCAGGGGACAGAAAAAGGACAAATTTCTCCTAATGAAGCTCTAATGCAGCATTCCAGTAACTTAAAAAAAAATCCTCTCTCTTTTTACCCCATTTATATTTATGAAATAAAATATATCCTTCCTACAAAAATGCATTGCTGTTGTTTTTCTAAGTACTTTCCAAACATCTGTACCAGCACTACAACATTTTCAGCACAATCCAATGCATGTCTACTCAGAAGTAAATCCCACAATGTTCAGTCCAGTTTACAGCTGAGTAAGTGTATATTGGAGTATAGAGCCTAGGAATGTGAAAGAAAAGGAAATGATCTTAAATCTTTATTTAATGAACTTTTTTTCTATATATCAGTTACCTACAGACATGTAATTCTAAATTTCACATTTCTGTTATTGAGAAAGTGAGAGGGAGACAGTGAGAAAGAAACAGGCAGGCAGGCAGAGATAAAAGCTATTTGAAGGAATTTTGGAGTGTTTCTAAGTTTCTATGTGTAATAAGAGAGAAGTTTCCTGGCAGCTTATTCTCCTATTCCCAGTTTTCCCCTGTAGTAAGAATGGTAAGTGTGTTTTAAACTGTACCCTCAGTTTGTCAGGGGCAATAGGTGATCCTAATGTGCAGACTCCAGGACATATGTATTCCTTAATAGGCAAATCAATGTGATAAAAGATTGTCCAGTGATAGCAAGGTTTTTTTTGGTGGGGGGGACTGGGGGATCTAATGTAATAGAGCAGGCCTGTAAGTCAGAAGACCTCAGATCAGGTTAGATGCATTCATATCCAATCTTCCTCTAAGAAGTTCAGACAGTACCTAGTTCAATCCCTGCCTCTTCCCTTTTATCCTCACAATAGCCCTGTGAGGGAGGTTAGACTGAATAACAGTGACTGCTCCATAGCTGTCAACTTTTCCCTTTTCTTGCAAGGAATCCTATTTGGAATACGGGAATTTCCCTTTAAAAAAGGGAAACGTTGACAGCTATGGACTGGTCCAAGGTCTCATTGTGAACTTCTTGTCTGGTGCGGGTGTGTGTGTGTGTGTTTTGAATTTGGGTTTTCCAAGTCCATGGGAACCTGTTCCAACTCCAGCTTGCATCAGCCTGGCCAATGGTCATGGTTGATAGAAGTTGCAGTTCAACACCACCTAGAGGACCACAGGCTCCTGACTGCCTCTGCAGCAATCTGCATGGTGCTGAAGAGGCAGCCTTGTGTATGGAGTCAGTATCTTGAATGACCTCTGCAAAAGGCATTGGGTCCCTTTCCTCATTCAGTGGCACCCAGTGGTGAAAGTTCTCAGCTGGGTGCTGAAGTGCCTCTAGATGTAGGGCTACTTCCAGTCAGAAGGATGATGATAACCATAACTCTTCAGTTTGCTGACACCAGCTTGCCACATAAATTGCACCATGCCAGCCCATTCCTTTCTAGTGTTACTAGCAAGGATTAGAGCCCAAATGGGGACGGTTATTGAATCGCTCGCTAAAGGGGCAAGGAGAACCATTTTGGATTCAGAACACAGTT